ATTATATTGCTGCATGTGTCTATGTAATATTGTTTATCAGCAAAAGCTATTTAGTGCGGTTCACAGGTTTTAAATGAAGTTCGTTCAATGTGACAGACAGTTTAAAGAATTAATATCGGTTTAAGTACTATGGAAACATCAAGGAAGATAGCTGGGACTCCTGCACACTTTAGGAGCTCGGCTCAATGAGCTGAAATGCATGTTACTTGGTCAATGCAAACATAGGAAAGGGACTCTGCTTCATGTCAAAAGGGTTTGGCAAATGGTTTCCAAGCACACAGTGCAATGAGGTAAATTGCACTGAAATGCATCATGTGTTATTTGTTCATGGTGCCTTCAGGACAAAAGCACACATGTCTTCTGGCATCCTCAAACAAAACAGATTTGCCCAGCGCCCACTGAATTAGAAGGTCGCGGGTCCTGTTTATGGATTTTGGAAGATCCCTTTGCACCATTCGAAAAGGAGAAGGGAATTTCTCCCAGCATCCTGGCTAACAATCCACCCCCCCAAGATAAAGTTCAGAATTCACTGCGTGGCTGTTTGAGGAACGTTGCTGCTGTGTGCAAATTGCCTGCCGGGTGAAGCACTTTGAGACGTCCTCCCAATGCGAAAGGCATTGCATAATTTCAAATGCAGAGGTAGTTATTATCAAGGGCATATGGTCACACAAGGGCAGTGATTGGTACCAGAACATTGACGTGCATCATCGCAGGCAACAGCAAAACAAGTTGGTCCCTGCTCAAAGAAAAAAACAGTCCCTTAAACGGTTTTCAGCCGTCCAATGAATCAAGCATGAATTTCTGAAGGGACCATTGCTAAGTCATTAAAGAGTTGATCTTAATAACATTAAAAAACAAACAGCAGTTAGTGCAGGTTTTTATGTGCCCTGAACTCTCTCTCTCCTCAACCCTAGACGAGAGCAATTAGAAGCAGGATATGCAGATCCCGTTGCCCATTCCGAATTGCTCTACTGCTGGAAGCAATGTTACATCACCTCCAGCCTGTAAACCAGGTGTGTCAAAGTCACAAACAATCACAATCACTAAAGCTTCGCAGAGTAACACGTGAATCATCAGTTAGTTATCTGCGCTCCAGTCAGTCATTACAGCACACTTAAATTAGCTCAATTTCTCTTTATCTCTACCGCAACACTTTTTGATGTGCCCAACCCTCTCCCACAATGTTCTCAGTGTTCATTTGTATCACTTCGACATCCGATAAGCACAATCTATAATTGCTTCTGCCAACCTCTCAGTTCAGAGCCCTGGATGGGTTACAGGCAGCATTGCTGGCAGGATGATCAGTGCTCTCTCACAGCCACGTTAATTACTATTATTAGGTTCCAGTCTTTATGAATTGAAAAAAAGGCAATTTAAAATTGTCAGTGTGCACTCCTAGGGTTAGGTTCAAGTCCTCAGTTTCCCCTCCTGCCTCACATTCGGTCGCTGACAAGGCATCAGCACCTGTTCTGTTCACGCAGAGCCTCACCAAAACCCTTATTCCCAACTTGGTTACCTTCCCCACTCGAGTTTTTAAAGGCATTCTTCCCTAATTCCACGTTTCAACTTGTTCAAAACTCTGCCACCTGCACCAACCTCTGCATGCCCATCACCCCAGCCCTCGCTAGGCTCTACCAGCTCCCAGCCTCCCAGAGCATGGCTTTCAAGATCGTCACCTACAAATCCCTTCGTGCCCTCGCATCTCTGAAATGCTGTGCTCTGTCCAGCGCCTTGGGACGTCCTCCCGACGTGAAAGGCGCTATACAAATGCAATCTTGTTGTTGTTGTTCTCCTATCCCACTGTTCTGCTCACCCCCTCCAAGCCATCATCGGCGACCTCGCCTTCAGCAACTATACCCCCAACATCTTTCGAAGTGCCTTCCTTTGTTTCAACCCCCGCCACCCCCACCCCACACTTTCTATCTACCTTTTAAGTCCCACTTGAAAACCTACCACTTCGACAGTGCCTATGGTCACCTCCCACCTTTCTCTTTATCTAGGAACGATCACTGTGAAATCCTCAGAGCTGTTTATCGAATATGAAGGGTTATATATAAAGGCTGTTGCCATATGCACTGCGTGCTGGACACTTTCCAATATTCCCACCATGTGTAGCAATTTGCTGAAGAAAATTGGGAGGTGGTGGAAAAACTCCAGGCATTGCCAAGAATCATGGACCACATCACAGCATTCGCTTTTAAAGTCAAATCCTTTTCCTCCACACACACATCAGAATTTATATTGGCATTTTACAGTGTAGGTGACAGCTCCATTATAGCTCAGGAAAAGGCATCAGAACATGAAGAATTCAGCAATTGTAGAACAGCACACAAATGTCAAACATTATTGCTAATCAGAGTATAATTGTTAGGTTGTTTTGAATATGAGTATAATAATAATCCACGGCTGTTTGTGGGGACGCTGCTGTGCGCAATTGGCTGCCGCGTTTCGCCCACAAAATATACAGTCAATTCGCTTTACAGTATATCCTGTGAAGTGCTTTGAGACGTCTCAAAGACGTGGTAATTGTTACTTTTATTATTGCTATCCTTGCCTTTGACAAAGCGCCTTATCACGTCATCAAAATGTCTCATAGTGCTTCACACCATTTGCTGTACAGCGCTTTTTTGACTACGAATGTGGAGGTGAACATGGCAGCCAATTATTGCCACAACAATGCCTCACAAACAGCCAAGAAGAGACCGACCAAATGTATCTGGGGGACTGTTGGCCAGCACACTAGGACAGGCTCTTCTCTTTTTGAACAGAGCCACGAGATCTTTAACGTCCACCTGAGCAGGCAAGAGACGAGACGTCGGTTTAACATCTCAGAAAGACAACATACAATCGAAGCAAAAAAAAAACACGGCGCACCAACACAAATTACGGTTTAAGGATCTCTACAAACTGAAGTTACAAATACCAAATTTGCACGTTTTCCTAAAATTAAAGTTAAAATTCACCATTTAGCGATTCCATCCAGACACACGCATTGTTAAGTAAGCGACGAGAAAAGTAATCAGACCTTTAGAGTGTGCCGCAGGGCATTGGGGCTGACGCTCCATGTGCTCATTATTAAAACGCTAACAGTCGGAGGCATATTTCATGTTTGCATCATAAAGTCTACACAATGGAGCGAAAGAGCAGGAACAAGCTGCGTACATGCTATTCTTACATCTGGAGTGTGTGAGGTGCACGGCTCACAGTAACTGTAGCATATGTCAGTAATTCAGACTTTATTCTATTTATTAACAGCACTCACAACTCATTTAATTAAAAGTCTAAACCAATTGTAAAGTGGTTATTTATATTGGCTCGCTGCTCACGGTGGCATCTCTACACAGTTCAGAAGCACGAAGTGAAGCACAGTGGAGACATTTTTGCTTCTTTCTCAAAGGCCCATTTTTATTTTGCCCAATTCTTGACACATCAGATGCCATTTGGCTCCTGTCCTGGTAACAAATGGCGAAACGTACCACGTGCAGGTGGAAAAACGGATACAAACTTCACACCATTCGGCCTCCCGGTGGTGGGGTTTTCACGCTCTTCAGGTGATGAAGGGTTTGAAGCAATCGCTTGCTGGGAGAGCAGCAGAGTTTTGTAATGGATTTATTGCAGTTAAGTGTTGGGCTTGATGTCTTCATAAAGCATACGACACCGTGTCTCTACCTCTGTCCTATTGAGCAGTATTCCCAGCAATATCACACTTGTGGGATATTCAGCAGAACACAAGGATAACTAGTGGCGATTCCGGAAAGCCACCTCTGCTCATATCGCTGGTTCACAAATACTAATAAATCACTCCACATTGCTCTGGAGCGTCCCACTCCTCTGTGCTCATAACGGAAAGCTACTTCCTTTCTATTACATTTTATTTATAAACGTGAGTGAGTGAGTTTAAAGTCTAAAGTGCTGTTGAACGCTGTTGTTGCAACATCGCTGTTTATCCAGTGGCTTCCAAATGGTCGGAAGAGTTCACAATACAACAATTGTATTTCAATATCACACATCCGTGTGTGTTGTGTGTGTTGTGTGTGGGGGGGGGGGAACACTTGGAAAATTAAAAAGAGATTTGGTATAGTTGTCATTTTTCTATCCAGCTGCTTTCTGTATAACTGCAACAAAAGGGGGTTCTCCTTCCTTGCAGTTATCTTTTCATACGCTCAGTTTTCTTAACACAAAATTAACAATGTGTTTGCACTTACTCAGCTGTTCCCATAGTTTCACGTTTCATGAGGGTTGTTCCAGAGTGTAGCTTCCCATGTGACTGGATTAAAAGCTATATAATGAGCTATTTAATAGCTCAAAGTTGCTTTGTGTTACCCACTGGTGCACATGTTCAGATCACTTCACTTTTATTAATGTCAAGCAGCAAAATCTTAAAAACCTCTCCCTATTTTTAATGGAGCCGCACTTTAATACATTCTTTGTCATTTACAGACACCACTCAGCATGATTGGGTTAAGGGGTCAAATACCTATGTAGCAAATTCTTCAACCTCATCCATTTGATAACCCAAAGGACAAAGGGGAGACACGTTTTCATTATTTTGGACAATAAATAGCTGAATATTATTATTTTTGCAGTCGTATAACGTGACATTAATAAGATGCTTTTCATACTCAATCCACGACTGTTTGTGGGGACGAGGCTGTGCGCTAATTGGCTGCCATGTTTCGCCCACAGTCAACAATTCACTTTACAGTCTATCCTGTGAAGCGCTCTGAGACGTCTCGAAGACGTGATCAGGCGCTGTGTCAAATGCAGATTATTATTATTACTGTTATTATTATCGCACTGCTCATTCATTCGAATCGAACCGCATTTTAGGCTAAATCAAGGATTTGTTTCCCTCTCTTTATGATCAGGTGTAACGGGTAAAGACAAAGGTTGTTGTGAGAGCAACAACAACAGCAACAACAACTTGTATTTATATATCGCCCTTCAAGCCGGATAACGTACCACAGTGCTTGGTGGAAAATGCAACAGGAACAGCTCACCTGCTCAGGTGTCAAACTCTGCAACTGACGCTCTCGGGAAACCTCATCCTCCTCCTCTTCCTCGTGGGCTGGTAACACTGGCAGCTCAGCCAGAACTTGTGGATTCCGCTCCAGGCAAAGTGTGGTCAGGTGGTCGATGTAGAGTTTTAATTTGAGGCGGTGGCTGAATGCTTCCAACAGTGACTGGATCATCTGGCGCAAGAGGAGAGTTAGTTACATCCCACAGCTCCCCCTCTTTTGCTACCGACTGCACCGTAACAGGCATTTATTTTTTGGCATCGGATTGTAACACTATGTAGAAGTTTATTCCAGTGGAGTAACCTCGGCTCCTGACATTCACTAATATACCGGAATTACAACCCAAAGCAATAAAGTGGAGACAAATAATGGGCAAGTCTTTAGCTAGTGTCAAACGATGCTACTTTGCAAGCAGGGGGGGAAAAAAAGCATGTTTTTTTTTAAAAAAATGCTCCAAACTCTACAAACTGTACTGTGGGAGGAAAAAAAACAGATGAGTTAATTGTTTGACCTTAAAACATTAAAAACGTTTTAAATAGATTGCGTGGAAATAGTCAAGAAAAGTTGGGGGAAAGAATGGAACAAGTGACCACAGAATAAGTGCTATTTGCATATAAAATGTTTTAGTAATTATTTTGTAAGCACCCACATTCCCTCTCCAGCTCTGTCTCATTGCTTTATATTTATTCACATTAAATTGCATCTGCCACTTCTCAGCCCCACAGCCTACTCTGTCCTGAACCCTCTGTACTTTGGTTGCTGGTTCCCTATAATTAGCAACCCCACCTAATTTGGTATGTCAACAAACTTGGCCGACTTTGTTTCTGCTTCCATTTCCTTCCAAGTCGTTTATGTACACTGTAAACAATAAAGGCGGTGGCACTAAAGCCTCAGGCACCTAGCTCGCTAGTCACCTCCATCAATCCAACACAGCTCCCTGGAACTGTGCTACGCTTTGTTTGCTCGGATTCAACAAGTCCTGAACTTGCTTTGAAACCTCTTCCCTCCCCCGTTCCGTGCCTGTCAGCCCTTGCGGAACAATTCCTTACGTGCCTCGGTGTCAAAAATAACCTTGTCAAAACCCAAACAGAACAGTTTGTGGGGACGCTGCTGTGCGCCATTGGCTGACGTGTTTCGCCCACACAATACGGAGTCAATTCACTTTACAGGTGTATCCTGTGAAGCGCTTTGAGACGACTCGAAGACGTGATAAGGCGCTGTGTCAAATGCCGGGATTATTAAGATTTTTTTTCTCTAGGAAATAGAATCAGCTGTAAGTAAGTAGAAGAGCATATCTGACACATTACAAGAATATTATATCCCAATACACAACAACAACAACAAATTACATTTGTCTAGCGCCTTTCACGTCGGGAGGACGTCCCAAGGCGCTGTGATGAGGCCAAATAGTGTGAGGCAGTTTCGAAAAAAATGTATAGTTTTTTTAAGGATGTTGAACTCAGATTTACAGCGTAAAATATTTAGCGAGCTCTTGAACCAAAACATATCACAGTACAATGCCATTTGAAGTTTCAGCCATAGAGTTTAAGAATTCCGATACGCTGCCAAATCTACCATTATTCACTGTCAATTTCACCCAATAAATCTTGACACGGGATTATGGAGCTCATTTAAAGATCAGAAATACTTATCACATTAATACTTCAATATTCATATTCATACTTATTCAACATTTGCTCTCCTTAAAAGTAGATTGGTAAACGCAACGCACCAACAAAAGTCAGTGTATATTTACATCTCCTGCCGTCCATTGCACTCAAATCAATGAGCAAATACCACAAGATTTGGCAAGGACAACTGTTAGCTCGTTGACTTGCTTAGTACTGCAAACAACGCTTTATAACCATCTGCTGATAGTGTGTGTTAGTGAGTGAGAGGGAGAGAGACACTGCGTATGAGTAGGAATAATAGGTTAAATATCTTTATAATCCTGGTCTGGCCAAGAAATCCTCCAGATAAAATTGGTCATTTACTTCATGGCTGTACATTCTCAGGCACTACATTTCACACTAAATCCTCTGACGCCCTCTGAGACGTTTGGACGATGTGATAAGGCGCTATATCAACTGCAAGGATTATTAGGATTACTGCACGCGAGGCAGAGGAAAGTATCAATTGTAGATTAAATATGTGGGTATGAACATACACATAGTTTGGAGGGGAAAGCTGCACTTTGTATCAAATAACCTTTCCTTTTTTGTATCCTAATCATCAATATCAGATATCTGGCTGGAGGATGGAAACTCAATTTCAAGCAGATATCATTTCCTCGCATGCAAACCTCTGGGGTCCTTTAGGATATGAAAACTGTGTTTAATCAGAACCACAACATTATGCAGAGGAAGTTCTTGAGCAGAGAGATAGACATACAGGATGGTAAATTAGTTGCAGAGCATTGTGAAACCAGCTAGCAGTTAGGCCAGCATCACTCATCTGACCTAGACTGTGCTATTCAAGCTCATACCTACCCTGCTCCGCAAACAGGAACTCCAAATGTAAGGGTTAAAAATAGTTGTGTTTTCACATGGTAAAATATATGGCTCGATACTTCAAACTGCGCCAATAGTTTTGTGACGACCCATTATCAAGGAAGGGTTTGACTTACCACATGTCAGAGCAAAGAGGTTATTTTTTTTTTAAAAGTTGAAATTGCAGAACAGCTGAATTTAATTAAAGGTCAGGGATGTAAAAGGTTTCTCAAACGTATGATTAATTCTGATCAAAACAGTCATGGTAAACAGCGGATACTGCTTCCACTGAACCCAATGCAGGTTTCTGTTTAACAAATATTCCTTGCATGTACTGACTGTATTGAGAACAAACTTCACCCATTACGTCTCCACCTCCACTAGTTTTATTTCAATTTGCATCTTTCAAAGCGTTGTAAATAATGTTCTGGGATTAGCAGGAGGGACAAGTCTGTGTGAAGGGAACAGCCTCCAGCGAGCTGCTGTTTCGGTGACAAATTTGGTGTTCGGGAGGATCCACATTTGCACAGTATCTTTCTTCTCATCATCTGTTCTCAGGCAAAGCGTACGTCAACTTTGTTTTTAGGAACAAGTTGACAAACTGCGCCTCCGACACCATCATCATAAGTTGGAGAGCTGCGTTGACCAGTGCTGGGACCAGGAGCTGACTTTGATCAGGGCTGCAGGAAGCACTCTGTCCAGTTGATTTTAATGATAGATCGGGGGAAAAAAATTAGGTGTGAAAGCTAAAGTGTTGCATTCTCATATCAAGGCTCCCAGGATAAAGCAATGGATAAGTGTGTGAAGCGGCTTTGCTCGCCTGTTTGCTCGTCTGTAATCACGATGAATCACACACACATTATCACACTCATACACTTCGCAATTTATTACAATAATCTCTCTAACACTGTGCATTTAACTTTTTCAACTTTACCTCACCTTAGACTCTTTTTTTCCCCGGGGAAGTGGAGGGGGGGGGGGGGTGGGGAGTGATGACTACCAATCGGTAACATTAACATTAACAAATAACTTCAGTTAGTTGTTCGATCCACAATGCGTACTTTCACTTTTAGAATCCAATTAAGTCCCAACCTGAATCTGTCTTCGGTTTATTCAATGAGGCATCATCATCATCATTATTATTATTATTATTATTCGACTGTCTTGGGCAGAAAAAGGTTCAAATGAGTCATTCATGGGTTAATATTCAATAAATGCCTTTAATCCATTGGGTTTACCAACCTTGATTCAGCGACTCCTAGTCAAGGGAGCAGCAGTATGTGTAACTATAGATCACTTTTATCCAAACCTGTCACTCTCACATGGGGGTAACCCTTCACATTCAGGGCTTTTTCACCAGATTAGGAGGGCAGCTGAGAGATCAAGCTAACCCAGGATAAACTACTTCTCCACAGTTCAAAGACGACAGCCCCTGTGCAGGTTAGACCGCATGCTATGCTTTGAAGCCTTTGCCCTCAGGTTCATTAAACATATTTCACTTAGTTCGTTCTTGCGATTTTCGTGTTAGAAAAATGTAATTTGACTTTGAAGTGTTACACTAGTTATGATAGGTCTCGGCTCACGTTTTACTTTTAACTCCGTGATGGCTGCAGATACAATGGCAAAGTTTAACAAAGTTCCCCCCAAAAGGCTGTGGATTATGGCTGGATCCATTCATATTTCCAAGACTGAGGTAGAGAGATATTTGTGAGGTCGGGGCATCAAGGGATATGGGGCCAAGGAGGGTAATTGGAGTTGAGGTATAGATCAGTCATGATCTTGTAGAACAGGCTCGAGGGGCTGAATAGCCTCCTCCTGTTCCTACTCCACAAAATCCACCACATAAAGGTCCCTTGTACATCTGGGAAGGCCATTTAACAGCACTGTATTTACTTCAGTAAAACATTACTCACAATCACTGATTTCCGCAGTACAGATATAGTCGCTTCTTCTACTGAGTACTTTAGAGATTTAAATGTATCCAGGGGATTTATAAACCCTGTATATGCTTCCTAAAGTATGTTTTCTCAAGAGTCTCATTTTGACAATTTGTTTATTTGCCCTTCTAATGATTTTTTATCTTAAGACGATAACGAGTTGAAAGCGCCTATTGGATGATGTTCCAAATATATATCCACGCGTTCCAATAAACCATCTGGTGAGAAGCTTGACCTTTCAATATACGAAGAGCAAGGAAAGTAAAGAGAGTTAAGTTAACGGTCTCAAAGCAGCAACCTCCAGATAAAGCTAACTGTAATTCAAAGTGATACGATATAAGTAATATTGACATGGATTTCTCTGGTGCAAGACAAAGCACTGTAATAGGAATCTCAGATCTTTATCTCAGTGCAAAGTCTGTCATCGCAAAGCCAAGCTACTACCTAGACTGGTGAGCAAATACCAAACTGATTAAAAAGGCACAGAGAAACTGATCCCCTTCCTGTCACCCGGCTTTAACAAATTTCACAAAGATTAAAGGCAGAGCTGGCTGTCATAAAGCAAAATGGGGAAAATTCTAAAACGGCAAAGTTTTCTTGTTTAGATTACAGCCGAGAGTTAGTGTTGCGCTGCATTGTATCAGCGTCTCCTCAGTCTGCGTGTTTGCGTTGTGACAATTGCAAAGCTTTGAGTACATCAAGTTTTTTTTGGGTGGTGGTAGGGGGGAGAAGGTACAAATTGTTTAAC